GTGTGAGACGTCTGTGTGAGACGTCTGTGTGTGACGTGCATGTGTGTGAGATGTGCGTGGGTGTGAGACGTGCGTGGGTGTGAGACGTGCATGTGTGTGTGTGTGCTTGCCTCTATGTCTCTGCATGTGTGTACCCTACGGTCCTGTCAGGCCCTCCTCTTCCCTGCGCTTCCCTCTCTCAGTGCATCTGAGGGTCCGTGCGAGGTACAGGAAGCAGAAAGAGTGAAGTCGGATGGCGTCCAGTCAGCCCCAGAGGAGAGTCTGCTTGTGGGTGTGGACCACAGTGTCACCTGGCTGGGACGAGCAAACACTTCTGGGGGCTACCACCTCCCTCCTTCCCAAGAGCAGTCTGAGCCCTGCCCCCCCCCCCATCCCTCAGTCCTGGTGGACAAGGCATGTGGCCAGCACATCAATGGCTATTTCTCTCAGGCACTCCTGATTGTCTGACCTGAAGGCTTGTTCACAGCCCTGGGGCCACAGTGCACTCTCCTGTCAGGTGGGCCTGGGGGGTGGCCACAGAGAGAGGAAGGGACAGATTTGGGGTGATGGCTGGTGGGCCTCAACATGAAAGGGTCCCAACATGAGCAGGAGTGGAGAGCCAGGCCTGGAACCGTGGTTGGAAACCCTGAGGTGCTGGGAGTTAGGAAGCAAAGGGGATTCTAGACTGATGGGAGGAGATGGGGCAGGCGGCACGATGTGGAGCAGTGAGAGTGGGGGGCTGCGGGCTGCTCCCCTGGATGTGAGGGTGAGCTGGACACCGTCCACGTCCACGTGCACATATGCTCAGTCTTCATGCTTTCCTCAGATGGTGTATACATACATGTGTGTACAACCCCAATACGCTCCCAAGGTGACAGGTGAACAAGTTTGTGCAGCCCTGCATGTGTTCAGGAGGGCCCTTGTATGTTTGCATGTACGCATGCCTACATGTGTGCAGCTTCTCACGTGCTCCCAGGGTGGCCTGTGTGTGCACGTATGTGCCTTGGGCTGTGTGCATATGCATGTGTACATGTGTGTTCCTTGTGTGTGCAGCATGTGGCTCTGCCTGGTATGGCAGTGTGGGTGCCCTCCTGTGAGGTCTGGCTGCACCCGGGGGACCTGGGAACTGCCTGTTCTGCACGCCTTCCTGAGATGACAGGGCAGAACGCAGACGCAGAGGCTGGGAGAGGAACAAGCCGGGCTACAGAGTGCCAGGGCTTGCTGTCCCAGCCGCTTTCCGGAGGAATCCTCTGCTCAGCAAGGTACAGCTCTCTGGAGGTGTCAGTGTTGACCTGCCCAGAAAGTCCCCTGCAGCCCCCAAGGGGAGCACAGGCGGAAGCCCCATTCCCTCTTCTTACTGACGTCACTGTGTCTTGTGGCTTAAGAGGGTGGTAGCCGTGGGGCAAACAGGAGACAGCCCCCACCGGGCAGTGTCTGGATGGCTCTTCAAAGGGGCAGACAGCTCACTCCAGATCCTGGTCACCCAGGCTCCACTGCAGGTCAGTGTCGCTGGTCACAGGTGGAGCTGTGAGGGGGTCAGAGTGAGGGGATG